TCCCACCCACTGACTCATAGATTGTTTCTGCTTCTTCCTCTTCTGCAATATTCCCTGAGCCTCAAGTGCGGAGGTGATACAGATGTCCCATTTAGGACCAAGCACTCAGTAGTCACTTATTATCAGCACTTTGACTAGTTCTGAGTATCCAAATTAAACAATGCCCAGTGCAACCTAATCTATAAGTATAAACATAAATATTTATAAGGCAGTTTGACAATATATCCATTCAGTAAAATAACAATAATAGGCTTCCACTTAAGGCCTATGACCTCGAGTACCAGTTATAAGTTCTCTCCTGTGGAGCCAGCCTAAAATCTAATCACAAAGTGATTGGTTACAACCCCATAACAGTAATACCACTATTGCCCAGTGGGCACATCTTGTCTGGCAGAGCAACATTGTACCATGCAAGGTCTACCACTGGGTAAGACTTGATGACTTTTCTCCCCCAGAAGCCTGCATAGCACCTGTGAAAGCTACCCAGTAAGAAGAAAGATTCTAGCTCATTTTTATCATGTGTCCTAAAACTCAACATAGTGTCTTCAGTAATAGGGTCTTACCATCTAGTATTGGTGAGCAAGAAAGAGAAATGATAATAGTCTGTATTGTTTTGCAATACATTGCACTAGGATTTTTGTTTAATAACCCGTGGACAGCATTATCTACTCATGCAGGGTACCTCTGTTAAAACTCATTTTAAAAGTATATATTTAAAGTAGTCCCAAAGTAGCAGCTTTTCATACATCCTTAGTTTTTGTTAATCTCCCCAGTTCCTCCTCTCTCCCATCCTTACACCCCCATCCTGCTTAGACCTTTCCATCCCTAGTATTCCTCCCCTCTACCTTCATATCACGTGTGTTCTACTATCCTCCCTCCTTATTAAGGCCTCTTCTACTCCCCTATCCCATCTCACGGGCTTTTTCTAACTTCTTAGTCTCTACACACACGTGAAATTAAACATACATGAATTTAAAAATTAGAAACTAGGATCCTTATATGAGAGAGAACATCTGGACATGGGCTACCTCACTTGATGTAAAGTTTTTTCAAGCTACTTATGAGGACAGGTATAGCTGGGTATGGTGGGAATGAGCATGACCCAGGAGTTTAGAGTTTTTTTATTTCAGTCCAGGTACCAATAATGAATGGTAGAAATTCCTTTAAGGTAGGACATCTCTATCAGTTTCATGGGAGTGAAAACTACTATATAGAACAGGGTACTTCTAACAGTCCACAAACTTCAAGATTACACAACTGAATGATTCAAGTTAAGGATTTGAATCAGAATCAGTAAATGCCTACATAGTTCTCACATGGACCCAGTAAAATTATAAGAGCTATTTGAAGTATAGGTGTTAGAAGAACTGTAATGACGCATAGATCAATCACGCAGTAGCTACACTGTCAGGTATAATTAATGGAACTTCCTGCTAAAATGATAGCAATTTGGTTAAAATTCTATCTGTGAAAATAATTTTAAAATTGAAATAGAAATAAGATTCATAACTGGCAATAACACCAATGAAATAATTTGTTCTATTTAGGCCACTAAGTAAATTTATATGTTTGAAATAAGTGTTGTAATCTTTGTCGTAAGACAGATACTAGACTTCACATGATTGCACATCAGTCTCATTACAATGATTTGGCATTCATTTTCATAAAGTTCAATTTTCTCCCACATATTTAATGACATAGAAGAAAACTTCCATAAAGGAAACCAACCCTATCAGAATCACGTCTTACTGTGATATTCACTGTATGCTGTAAGGGCACAGTTCATAGAACAAGTTGATAAAATACTATTTTCCCAGGAAGCAGTTTTAGCACTTCTAAATATCAGAGGCAAGTTTCAGGCCCACAGTGGGCACATGGTTGCCTGTAGGCTTTGCATAAAAGGCAATACGATAAAAGAAAGTCTGATTGGGAAGCTACTAACAGGCTTCAGTTCCTAACTGTGGTTAACAGTCTAAATGTTAAGCTAAAGAGCTGGAAATGGATGGAACTTTGGTAAGTCTGGCAATTTCCATATCTAGCAGGGTCCCTTGTTCAATTTTTTGTTCCCTCCTACCCAGCCTTCATTCCTACTCATCCCTTAAGGCCAAACTCAGATGCCACTTCTATGAAGATTTTCTAAAGCCAACACCCTTGACTCTCCTGAAATACCCTACCTACATTAAGGGTTCATTAGCATTCTACCTCCATGCTTCTACAATACTTGGTATAAATCTTGAGTATGTTTCCATTCCTTGGCCTCTTATATTGCATCCCATTATTGGGCCACAGGTCTCCTCAGTGAGTTCCTGAAGAACAGGAACTATGTTTAGTTCATTTTTGTGTCTCTTGATGCTTCTGCATTACAGAAACAATATGTTTAAGAATTATTTGTTGAATGAATGAATAAATGGGTAGATAGCAAACAGTGTGGTCACCTCCAGTGGCGGCCTGAGTGCCGCTCCTTCGTTCTCATGGGCATTGAGGCTGCTCCTCCGCTCACCCTAGGCTGAGGCCGCTCTTCTGCTTGCCCTGTACTGCTTCCTGTCGTAGCTGCTTCTGCCCAGTCCCAGACCCCAGAGCTAGTGAGGAGACTGTGTCAGCAGAACCGCATTCAGACACAGGAGACCGGGTTCAGTGACACAGGTCTGCTTTATTGCAGGAAGGCACAAGCTTATATAGGGGTAGTGGTCCAATCACAGCACAGCAAGTAGGATACCTCATTAGCATAACAGGTTTAGCATCCTATCACAGTACAGCAAGTAGGATACCTTATTAGCATCAACTATTAGCATAACAGACTTAACGTCCTATCACAGAATAATGGGTAGGATGCCTCATTAGCATACTGGGTTTCAGATTATAGAGCCTGGATTCCTGGAAACCATGTGACCCTGACGGTTGCAATTTCACCCTAGACTCAATCCTATCTCCCACAAAACAGTACATTTAAAATAGTTTTGACTATTTTATCCCCTTCATTTATCATAGTGTGGTTAGAAATTGATAAGAAATTCCAGGCATTGTGGTACATACCTATAATTCTAACACTTGAGAGGAGGCAAGAGAATCAGGAGTATCCAATGTTGACTACACAGAGAAATCCTGTCTCAAGCCCCCGCTACCCCCCCAAAAAATTGTGCTTGGGGATGCATGCCTGTAATCCTAGCACTTCAGAGACTGAAGCACTAGTATCATGACAAGTCTGTGGGCAACCTGGGCTACATGGTGAGTTCCAGGGAAGCCTAAACTACAGTGTGATATTCTTAGAAACAAAACAAAACAAGCTAAACAAAAACAGCAACCACAGACCAACAAATAAAAAGGAAGGCAGTAAAGTGAGACGTTCTTTCTTGTGTGTTTGTGAAGGATATTTATACTACCTGGATGTGTCCTAGGTACACCTAGATTCTATCCTTAAGGATGACTATAGTTTAGATATTTAATAAACTCATGTAAACATAAGAAAAGAGAGATGCATGACAACAAAGAGAACAGTGCTTACTAAGTTGAAAGAACATGTGATAAGGGTCACACAGAGGTCAGAGAGGTCAGAAATACATTATTCTGGTTTTCAGGACAGGAAAGCTAGATGAGATTACAATGTTTCAAACCCACTCTCAGTTGTAAAAGCCCTAACCCCCCAAGATGGCCAGATCTAAAGAGACTAGCATACATATCAAACTTATTGGAGCTTGAAAAACCAAAGACAGATGATTAGGCCACCTGGATAGTTAATTAATTATGATTGATACGTGGACTTGTCTTAAAGGGAGCTGCAGGGAATTAGAGGAGCATCAGCCATAGGATGCAAATGTGCAAATCAAACTTCCATTAAAGCCTTTCTTTCTAGCATTTCCCTCTCTTCGGCAGTATAGGATAAATAGATTATCTGGCAGATGCAGATGCTTTATGGAAGAAAAGGTGTTCTGACAATGTCTAAGATTGCTTAACATTTGTGTCTGTGATTTGCAGAACATTGTAGACTGAGGGAGCAAAGAAAATAAAATGGTCAATTGTTGCTGTATTGCAAGGTATGTGATAGAGAAGAGTAGAACATTTGAAAGGAAAGCTAGAACTAGACCATGAGTAGTCCTGGAAAAGGGCTATGAAGTTTAAATGTTCTTGTTTATATTACTGGGATTCCCAATAATAAAAGCATGATTAGAATTGTACTCTGAGAAAATTAATTTGGCTGCATCATGTTAGTTGGTTTGGAGAAAAGATCCTGGATGCAGAGGCCTGTGGGAAGCTACAGAAAACTACATGGGAGGGAGGAGAAGAGAAAGACTGATGCATACAGATTAGGAAGTACCATAGTTTTGTTCACCCCACAATATGGCCTGAAGCCTACATAATCTAAATGGAATATAATGTGAAATGTGATCTAATTTCTACAAAATTCTCCCCCAAAATAATAATAAAATAAAAAATGGCTCAGTTGCTAAAATGCTTGCTGTGCAATCTTGAAGACCTGAGTTTGACTCCTCCACTCCACACAAAAAGCTAGGCAAGGAGAAGAGACCTGTAATACCAGCACTGGGGAGGAAGAGAGAGGAGGAGCCCTGGGGCTTGCTGTCCAGCCAGTCTAGCCAAATGAGTAAGCTCCAGGTTAATAAAAGACAATGTCTTGAAAAATAAAGTAGACAGAACTTGAAGAAGACACTCAGCATTGACTTATGGCTTCCATATACCTGTGCATTCACATGCACCTGCATATGTCTACTCACAGACACGTACAGACACACAGACACACACAGGTGAATGAAAAACAACAAAAAAAATCATTGATTGAATTTTAGATGTCTAAATATAAAATTGTTAAAAATTAGACGTTCAAAGCATCACCACAATGGATATCTATATCTAAAGAGACAGCTGAAGGGAAAAGAAACACGCATATCCCACATAACACAGGATCTTATCTTCTAAAATGTCCACATATTTCTCCACGATAGACTTTCTCACAAACCCCTTCTAATATCAGCTAACCCGACTAACAGGAATGCTGCAGAAGGCAGAAGCAGGACCTGTGTGAGAAGTTTGATTCCCTCTATGGTATCCTGGAGGAGAGGAAGACCGAAATGACCCAAGCCATCACCCGAACCCAAGAAGAGAAACTGGAGCATGTCCGAGCTCTCATCAAAAAGTATTCTGATCATTTGGAGAATGTGTCAAAGTTGGTCGAATCGGGAATCCAATTCATGGATGAGCCAGAAATGGCTGTGTTTCTGCAGGTAATTCTTGCCTTTTTTTTTTTTTTTTTTTTTTTTTTGAAGGGGTTCTTCTTTTCACCCCCCCCCCGCACGCTAAAACACCCTGCTGAACAAACACCACCCCAGTGCTCTTAGTTGCTGAGCCATCTCTCCTTTTTTTTTTTTTTTTTTTTTTTTTTTTAAGGCAGGATCTCCTTGTAGACTCCCCCAGCAGGCCTGAAACTCATCGTGTAGATCAAGGCCAGCCTGCTCTGTCTCCCAAGTGCTGGTATTAAAGACAGGCACCCCCGTGCCTGGCTCTGTGGGCATCAAGGAAACAACCGGAAAGATGAGTACAAATGTGACTACTTTTTCACCATTTTATGCACATTTCATTTTAAAATTTATTCTCCTAACTAAAAACTTCATCCATCTGACATTGCTTAAGCAGAAAGGGTTCTGACAAAACAGAAATTGCCCCTGGCATTTAGAAACTCTGCTAGGAGATTCTGAGTCAGCAAAGCAAGGAATTAAATCTCATCACCAACTTTGATAAAAAGAAGCTAAGTAAGCCTGTCTTGTGTTTGCTTTCACAGAATGCCAAAACTCTGTTACAAAAGTAAGTAATTTTTATTTTATGGAAAAACACAATTTTCATTTTTACCCTAGGCTGTCAAACTTTAAACAGTGACAGAAAATGACAAGTTTGTCTTTGCTGCAGGATCTCGGAAGCATCAAAGGCATTTCAGATGGAGAAAATAGAACAAGGTTATGAGATCATGGACCACTTCACAGTCAACCTCAACAGAGAAGAGAAAATTATACGTGAAATTGATTTTTACAGAGGTGTGTTATTTCTTTGACCACCCAGTTCAAACTGCATGTGTGGGAAAGCCGTAGAAGAGTTGGGTGAGAGGAACAGGCGTGCAAAATCACTTCCAGAATGGACAACTTCATAAGGATCGCAATCGAACGTGAAGCTCAGTCTTACAACAGGATCACATAGATTTTGACTGTGTTTAGTCTAATAGCTTTGCATTGTGTAGTACATATTTTAATGCCATTATCAGGAGTTTGACTCTGGGTAATGAAATGCTTAATAAATGATATTAATGATGACAACTCAACTTCAGTTCTACACAGAGTATTAAGCATGGTGAGAAATGATATGAAAACAAAATAGAAGACATCTGTGCTAGATAATGGTACTATATCAACTTTATCAAACATTAGAGGATAAGAACAGAACCAAGTCATAGAGCAAGTCTTAAGACATTAGACTGGGTCCCTGGGACCATATGCTGTCTGTCCATGAGCTATAACCCTATACCTTTGGCTCAGAATTCCCACTTCTAGAAATCTGTCTTAATGAAGTAATTGAAAATAGAAAAAATAACCTTAGAGTTGATCCAAACTCTGATCACCTTGACTCATACCAACCCATATAGGTGCCAACACCCCGGCTAGACTGCTAACTGTGCCTTGAGATTGCACTTGAACCCACAGATATAATTTTAGAGGCACATCTTCATAGTGTATTTTTATAATTTTTATCTAATATTATCTGTCCTTATAATCATTTGAATATATTTTAAGATCTGTAGGTGGAGAAAAAAATCATGGTAGTAATTGTGGCATAAAATTGATGTATTCAGTGAACAAAGGGAGTAAGAAATTAAAATAAGCCATTGTTTTCTGATAGGAAAGAGGGTTGCATTTCCATTTAATATGAAAGAGATAAGGAGGTGACGATATCATCTCCCCAGAAACTTGAAATATGGCAGGTTCTCATAAAAATGTGACCAGGCGCTGGAAGTGAGACTATACAGTGAGGGGAAGGACTTTGTACTGGGGATAAAAGCAAAGTGATAGCCCCTTCACATTTGCCCTGCCAAGGTAAATGTGAGAAATACAAGGTTTCAGGATGGCATACGTGGACCATTGTCAAGTGTCTGCTGGGGTTATTTCCCTAGCCCTGGGCTGAGGGTACTAGTCATCACCTTGGATACAATGGTAGTTATAAAAAGTTTTAAAAAATCTTATCTTTCTAGAAGAGGAAGAGGAAGAGGATGAAGGAGAAAGAGAAGAAGATGGAGAGGATGCAGTGGAAGTGGAAGTAGAAAATGTTCAAATAGAGTCATCAGGGGAAGATGAAAGTCTGGAACGAGCCTCAGAGCCCTCTCAGCAGGCTTCAGAGCCCCAGGCTATCCCAGGGCGACTTTTGGTTTCCTCTCCAGAACCACCTTCAGCCCTACCACCTGCTGCAGATATCCCGGTGACACAGGTAATCATTCTCAAATGCCTTCCTACCAAAGTGCCTCATTTCCAAATACTCTAAGCAATGTATTCTACCATAAGGAAAAGATAACTATATGCCAGGCATTCGTATGTGACAAAGAGTTCAGGACAGTCACAACATCAAGGGGGAAACACCCTCTAGGTGATGTAATGGGTTCATTACTGTTATGGTTGGTTGGCAAGACTTAATGCCACTTTTGTACCAACAACGCTCTCAGATATGAGGCAGTCTTTGTCGAAATTGTGTGTGTGAGAGACAGAGTGAGAGAGACAAAGAGAGAGAGAGATTAATTCATAAAGAGCTGCTCATGAGATTGTCGACCTTTCTTTGAATCAATAAAATATGGGGTATAGTATAAGAAATGATATGATATGAGAAATGAAAGTGATCACACTTCCAAGGTAATCCTAAATTTTCTATATATAAAATGGAGGAAGTAGATAGAGAAACCATACGAGTTCAGGCTGCTTACCGTGAAATGCAAGTTTATCTTTCCTTTGGTGGGCAAGCAAATGAAGCTTGGGTTTTCTATGTGTTTGTCATTTGATGACAGTGTATGTTAAACACATTTTAGGAAATTAGAATCTGACCAGCTAACCTTAGGTTTCTAGAAGCTCACTGTCCAGTTTTGATTATTGTGCTGACCTCAGGGCTCTTTAGTGTACAGGATCCCAGTTGCTGAGTTGGAGGGGAGGAATGTAGGTATGCTCATCAAAGAGGGGCCCTGGTTTTACTTGTTTTCAAGGTTGATTGGTAGAGAAAAAAATCCCGGAGGGAAAACTCAGACATGGAATTATATTCTGTGCTGCCTCCATAGGAAGCCAAGATACTGTTCATATTTCCCCAAATCTTGAAATTCTAAGTATACTAGTTGCACTGGAATTGAAAGAAGGGAAGTTAACTAATGAGGGTTGGATTTGGTCAATTAGGTCATTTGTTTTTTAAAATTCAGTTTGGTGCCAACATTAATTCTGATTAATAATTTGCCATATCTGGTATTCCATAAGCAACTTTTCACTTGAGGCTCCTGTTTCCTCCCTGTTGTTCCTACCATCTAGTTCAAGGCAAGCACAGAGAGTATGTAGATGCTTGCTAGAGGGACAGCACTGTGGTCAGCATTCTGCCCTTAGTCCTTCCAGAGAGCTCAGCGTTCAAACCCAAAGGGAACTAACCTCAACTGCTTTTTCCTCTTCTTCTTCTTTACTTTTGAATTCATCTGTTCTGATTAAGGGGGAGGTGGTGCCCACTGACTCTCAGCAGACCACAGAGTCTGAAACTCCAGGCCCTTCAGCAGCGGAAGCGGCGGATCCCTTGTTTTACCCTAGTTGGTATAAAGGCCAAAGCCGGAAAGTCACCGCCAACCCACCTTGCACCCCTGGGAACGAAGGTCTGGGGCAAATAGGGCCTCCGGGTACTGAGGAGTCCAAAGTGCAGTCCGCAGAAGTGGCAGAAGCCGCAGCCAATGAGCGGGCAGCAGTGAGTGGTAAGGAATCTAGTTCACCTGCAACTACCTCTCAGGTTAGTGTCAAAGCTCTTGTGTCTGAATGCTTTCCTGCCCCGCTACAATCCTGCTGGAAATAGCCAGAGCACAGTAGAGGGAAACAACCGCCCTGGGGAAAATTCAGGAATAGCTCATCCTCCAACGCTGGCTTGCATTTTAACACTCAAGAAAAAGTAAAGAACAAACTATCTGACTTCCCTCTGCCTGTGGAGACCTCACACCTGGCTTTAAAGGGGACCGGGTCAAGCAAGCCTGGCCTTAGACATGCTGCTGAAAGCTGTTTCATCTGTACTGATCGGCTGGTGTCTCTGGTTCTTCTTTGTGATGTCCACTTACCCTTTCTCAGCCTCCCGGAGCTCCCCTCGGCCTTGGGCTTCCAAAGACTAATTGCCTGCTTGGAAGTCATTCTCAGCAACCCCCCAGGAGCATGTTTGAATTAGTTTTAAATTTGCTCTATAAAATAATCTTGGATTCATGCATACCAGGGGTGTGCTTGCAATGCCTAGATAATCTTGGCCCAATTAAATCTGTGCTTCCTAAGCTTGTGCTCCTGGGGACAGGAAAACACAAGGCTCCTTCCATTTTTAAAGGGACCCTTGATAACTTAAGAACATTTTTTATGATAACGATAATTTTCTCTTTTTATAATGAAAGTTTGAAGTCCAAGTTATCTCCCCAATACCTAGGTAGACATTTGCCTGTCTCCAAGAATCCATAGAAGAAATCTTTTTACAATTTCTTCATGAGGAAGAATGCTCATGACCACTGTCACTCTGGATATGAGCATTCCTAAATAATGTGTGGGGAGTGAGTGTTGCCCAGACGAGAGCCTGTCAATGAACTTCCCTACTTCTGTGCTCCTGCATCATCAGGTGATTCCAAGATCAGGACAACAAATAGCATGATATCATCGTATCTGCTCAAGTAGACCTCAGTTTCATGAAGTAATGAAAGGACATGGTTTTTTGAAGAATTGAAATACCATTCTTTTGTGCCAATTATTTATTTTCATAGATAGAAAATGACAAAAAAGGCAACTTGCTTGATGTAAAGCAACTTTTCAAGGGATTAGTTTTAGGTTAAAAAAAGTGGACTGATTATTTCCAGAAAGTTTATGGAAATTCTTATATTCAGTGGAAGTTGAGGAGGAAGATTTTCCTTTAAACAGTAGTGCAGTTACCTAATGAGGAACACATAGCAGGTTTCCAACACAAAATAAAAAAGTTATCTAAATGATGCTGAAGAAAATGATTTGTGACGATGTCAGTGAAGATTTCTTCTTGTTTTCTCACAGGAGTCAGCAATCTGCCTAGCACTTCTGGCTTTTCTTATTCTCCACTACATCTGGAGTCAGATTCAGTGCTTGATTTTTGCTTTAATGGGTAGGAAATGTTTTCTTTTCCCTTTAACTAACATCTCATGTAGTTTCTTCCATGATGTTCCTCTTCTGTAGGCCCAGAGACGAATTTGACATAAACCTTGAGGCGCACTCATCTAAAACCATGTTCACTGATAACACTCAAGGCCCCAAGCTCCCTACAACGCAGGTGCCTCTGCACCTTCTTGAGGAGACTTCTATCATCTTTTCCTGAATGGAGAACCTTGATTCAGAACAGTGACTCCAAGGGCAATTATTCAGTGATCCAGTAGGCCTGAACCCTCCAGGTGGCCATTAGGGGTGGCAGCTGTGCAAGGTGTGCAAACACTGTGAGGACTCTGTTCTTACAGTAGAGGGAGAAGCAGCAAAGAAGCATTTCAGAAGCATGTAGGGGTGGTTTTTAGAGCCCTAAAGAAGATTTTCAATTAATTAGGAGCACCGTTTCCTCTATTTACCCAGAGAGGTCTAGATGGCTACTGTCAGGAACACTGTCCTATGCAGTTTCCACACTAGCAATTTCTCAGTTTTCTGTGAACTCTCATTCTCTATAGGGTTTTCCCTGGGAGAGGAAATCCCCAAGATAAAGCTGATGTGGGTATAGCAACAATTAGGGGCATTGAATAAAGATCCGAACATCAATGGCCGCGTACTGGCCATAAAGAATCTGAACCAACGAACAGCCATTATGTCATTCAACAGTCCTTGTCTTTTATTTCAAGTCACATTTCTCATAGTCAAGCTGAAAGTTTTTTTTCGGGACTGACATCTTATCTTTTGAATAATCTTCTGAAGGTTACCAATTTAATTAGCAATATTTGAAGATCTAAAGCACATGAACTTCTGAGAAAATGAACTCTGCTGTCCTAAGCCCTTGTGCTTGGCTAAGAAGCAGTCCAGGATCCCTGGTATGGAATGGCAACAGCTATCTTTGGTTCCCTCACCTCTCATCATAGACCCCTTCTCTGTCTCATTAGCCATCTGCTCTGCAATGACTGTAGGATCCCCATGGGTTCCTGCCGTGTCTATAACTCTGTGAGCAGGGCCCTCCCTGTGCTATTTGACAGTCAAGTACAAACATGTGCACCCACAAACGTTCTGAGCATGCTTAGTTCAGCTGCTGAGCTCGACATTCTTGTGGTAGAGAAGAGTAGCAGCATCGGCCATGGTCTCAGGAGCAAAAATGGGGAGAGAAAACATGCTTATTGGAAGAGGGACCTAATTGGGGATCTGAATAATTGTCTAAAGAGTTCCGTTTGCATTCTGAGAATGTGGATTTGGAGCTTTGCCATCATACATATTCTTAAAATATTCTCTGAGGCTGCAAGGGGAGTGTCATGCTTCATGGCTGCCATCCACCAAGCCCATGTCATGTATGCTGACATTCATATGCCTGTGTGGTGAGATGACAGTGAGGCAGGTGTGGTGGAGTGGGGTCGGTGGATTGATGTTGCTTGTGCAGTTTTTTGTTTGAGAGAGGCCTTCTCACACAGCAAAGCAAACCTGGTCGTAATGGGTACCACTCTTGGATCCCAGAAATGGGATATGAACAGAGTTGTGAAGACCTCATAGTGACAGATTCCTCGGTGCATTTGTTATAAACTTGGTTCAGCTTCAAGATCCAGAGTCCAGTTTACCAAATGACTATTTGTCCAGTGTAAATTTAGCTTGTTGGGATGTCATACTGCACCATTATTTGTCCAGTGTAAATTTAGCTTGTTGGGATGTCATACTGCACCATTAGTCTTCCCTTGAATACCTAGGATGTAATTCATGAGTTCTCCTGATTCACTGATGGTCATATCTCTCTTTACTAAATAGTCCCAAGTCAGCAAACAGTATTACCTTAGAAACTCAAGCATCACAAGCCAAGTTTCTCACCTGCAATCTACTTCGACCCCTTTGACTGAACTACAAACCCTTTAAGAGGGCAAATGGTCTGTTTCTGGGCTTTTTCCTCATATCTCTTCACATAATGAAACCTACCCTTGACCCCAGAACCCAGGCAGCTAATGCCTGCTCAAACCGGTCATGCCAAAAACAAAACAAAACAAGAAACCAAATTTCAACTCCCTCCACCACTGGTGGATGAAGCTGCTACTTTTTGATAGATTGGAGCATTGTCACCTTCCCCATCTTAATTTTCTAAGAAAAAATACATTTTTTCAACATTTGAATTGAGTCCAATGGTGGAGTTCTATGTCATAAAAGCCATAGTTCACAGCCATCCTTCTGCAGGATGAACTTTGAGCCTTGTCACTCTATTTTTGCCAGAGAACTGTACCGAGACCCTAAACTGGAGCAGCCTGCTAGCTGCAGATTTGCCTCTCTGTGTCCCAGCCTTCTGGTTCATGTCTGCTGAGTACGCAGCAAACACAAAAAGAATGGAAATAACATTTGATTTTACAATCCGTTTTAAATTTCATTTTTTTTGAGAAATTTACTCCATGCTCTAGTCAACTTCAGAAAAAAGACAGCATCACCGATTAGCTGCTATCTTAGACTATTTTCTATTGCTCTAAGTACAACAGACTAGATAATTTATAAAGAACAGAGCTTTATTAGCCCACAGCTCTCGACCAAAAGTGTGGTGCTAGGACCTGGTGAAGCCCTTTTTGAAGCAGTGTAACATGGTGGAGGCAAGGACAGCATGTGGCCAGACACAGCAAGCATGGTATATTGGGTTTCTCTTCCTCTCCTAATACATTTTCTAATGCCATCATTTTAGCCCCACACGACCTTATGAAATACCAATTCTACAACACATTTAATATGTCAATTTTAAGATTAAGTTTTCAACATATGAAATTTTGGTGGACACACTGAAATCATAACAACTGCCCTTGGGAAAACAGTCTCATCTCCTGAATATGCCTTCTTTGGCCCTTGGTTGGTTTAATCTGACTCCATTCATTGCCCTTATTCTTCTTACAAGTTGTCTGTAATTTACTACACCTAAGTATTAACATGGAGACTGCTCCCATGGAGACTGCCTCATCCTGTCTCAGTGGGCATTTTATTGGTAATACGTGTGGTGTGGCACTTAAATTTTCACAGAGGGGGGAGCAGCAGCAGTGAAAGTTGCCTCCCAGCTCCCTTCTTCCTCTCCCAGTGCTGGCTTAAATGGCCTTCTGTGAAGGAATCTAGCCACAGCACTTAACAGGAGCTATACAGGGAACAGAAGTTTCCAGAGAAATGTCTCCGTCTGTGGTGGATTAACTCAGCAGCTGCTCTGGCTCATACTTGAGCTGGACATAGCAGCTGCCTCAAGGTCAGAGGATTCCCCACCCATCTTCTAACACACACACACACACACACACACACACACACACACACACACGCATACAGTAGTAGGAGTCAAGTACTTTGACATTGAAATCTCTACACTTTCTGCTTCATGTCAGGTAGATACCTGGAATGTGAGGCTGGAGTGATAACAGACTCTAAAAACTTTACCATGCTATAGCTATTTGTTATTCCAAGAATAGACTGACTATCCACTGGAAAAGTATTCGTTCTTCATGCCTGGAAACTGGCACACAAGTTCGGTAAAACTTTTGCCAAGATTCAGAGTAATGGAAAGATCCATGAAATGAGGATGCATTCAGTTCTAGTCTATGCTTGACTGAGCATTTCATTTCT